TTAATTGATGAGCTAAATAACACTCAATGCCATCGGGTACCGAACCCACGCTACATTGTTGCAAGATTGTGGGTTTCAGTTGCACCACCAGTTACAATCACATTTCAGTACTTCATGGTGGTTTCACCTATTTGAGTAACGTTAGCTACTACACTCCATGACCATTCAACTCCCACCAATGTGCATGTTACAGCACTATCATCAACTGTTTTCATTTGGTCCGAGTATCATCTTATAGTAATGTTATAGATTCTTTAGTACTGAATGCAACCAAATCTCTGTCACTCAGTTGCTATTCGCTTTAAAGGCTCAGCTCAGCTCTCCCAAAGAGCCGAGACAACCAAACCAGTGACAGGGTTTCGATACAGAATGAAGCAGTAAAGTGCTTCATATGTCATAAATCACTTGATTTTTCCTAACCAAAATGTGTGGGTCTGACTGTATCATGGAGATACCTGAATAACATTTTGCAGCCCCATTGTTTTCATGCTGAGAAATGTGCCAGTATAAACTTAAGTGCTGAAAACATGCAGTTTTACTCAAATATATATAAAAAAAAATACAAGATTAACTCTGAGACTTAATTTGTATAATTTTCTTGTCTATTTTTTAACACCTCCTGATGCAATGTGTTATAAGAATTAGGAGTAATTAATCATATTCCAACAGAACATATTTGTTTTACAAAGAATGACACTTTACAACTTCACTGTCCAGCCTTGCTCATGCAGTGTACAGTTTTTTGCGGAGGTTGGAACTGCCTTAGGCCAATTCCTCATTTTGCTGATTGTTCAAGTGAAAAAGATTAAATAAAACCCCTCCAGCAAATACACAATAAAAACTGGTCTTTCTTCAAATGTGAATACACTGTTCCTTTTTAATTCAGTTTCAGGTTTGAAAACAGAAAAAAAAAAAATCTGTGATTGTAACATGCAAAGGTTTGAACATCGTTTTTATCTCTCAAACATTCAGAACCATCATTAAATGGACAGACACTGATTATGAGGACCGTTAGGTCAGGATGTCATCAGGAATAGTCAGCTAATGACAAATACATGGACTCTTCAAACCTTGTGGTAACACTCCCAACTATGGGCTCCTGTGAACAACTGATTGAAACATCTGAAAATGAAGCTAGCTGATGTAGGAGAGGCTATAAAAACAATATGTAATAATAATTGTGTAAGTCAATTAAAGGTAATTCATGCTTTGCACATTTGCTAAGGTTGAGTGACATAACTTTCATAATCTTCCCAGATCCCCGAGGGTCCACATGCTTGTTTAGACCACTAACTGTATATAAAAGATGGACAAATCTTTCATGATATCACCAATTGGTTTTCTTAAGGGCGGTTTTGAAGCTCAAGTCTGGCCACCTCCATATTGGTAGCTTCCAAATATAATTTAAAGTATCCATGTCATGCTTATTTTGCTCATTTCTAGCCATTTAATGTTTTATCTTGGGCACCTCAAGATGAGTTTTGCACCCCTCATAACTCCAAATAGTCTGGTTTTATCGTTCTGAAATAATTACAGAGTGCCTCATTCTAAAAACAAGAGGATAGCTCATGAACATGCACAACTCCTGCTGCCATTGTTGTGTCAGAAGTGGACAGCGAAATGAACCGCAACAGCATTAATTAATTTGAATTTCTCCTCCATAGATATGTAAACAATGGCATATTTACCACTGAAAAGAGATATGCAACACTCTAAACAAAGTGGGTAATTAAGAAGCCCCATATTTTAACTGGCATAATGCAGACAGTGACCTCTCCAGCCTTGCAACAATTCTCTCTAACCTTACAGAAACAAAGCATTAACATGCAACATGTGGTGTTTTTTAAAACTTTGCCTCAAGTCCCACCAAGTAGCATCAAGGTCGGCTTCATTTAAATCTTTTGCATCGACACAATAATTCATCAAGTTATTCAGAGGCAGCCACACAGACAAGATGCAGACTCAAAATAAATAGCAGATTAAAAAAACTTTCACGGATAAGCTTTATTTCATAGTAAGCAGATGAAAAAACACTGAAAGTGAAGATTAAATATTTTAACTCTATAAATAAATAGAAAATGAGATGCTAGAATTATTCGTTAAGGACAATACTTTCTACTGAAGTCAATAGGGGAATAAATTAGAAAAAGCAGAAAGCTACATTATTCTTTTTAAAAGCTTTTTGAACCTTTAAAAAAAGGATTCCTGCATAGATAGTTTGTGTTCTAGGTCTGCAAGGATGTTAATATAGCCCCACCATATATTTCTGATATGCACCTACTCTTTATGAACAAATCTAAAGAATACATGGCTCAAAAATATCAGTTTTTAAGATGATCTATGTTCATGTACACAGTGATTTGGGGTGAAATAGCATCTTACGTCATAGGTCTTACACTGTAGTTGAATACAACATGGCAAGGGCTATATGGAAGCACATGAAGACCATGTAATGAGGCAGCTAGGCAACTTTGGCTGCCCAGTGGTCACTGAAACCAAACAACATTTTTGTTTCTGCTCAAACCTATTTTCTTAACAATGAGCTAATGTAGACAAACCAATCAAAATTCTGTACACAGATGTGATGGTAGCCAAAGTTTACATACACTTAGTTTGAAGTCATTAAAACAGATTTTAACCACTCTACAGATGTCATATTAACAACTTCTCATTTTGCCACATTGGTTAGGACATGTACTTTATGAATGACACAAATTGTTCTAACAGTTGTTTACAAATAGATTTCACTTGCAGTTCACTACATCACAATTCCAGTTGGTCAGAAGTTCACATACACTCAGTAAGTTGAGTGTGCCTTTAAAATTCCAGAAAAATGGGTCACAAATGGGTCTTCTAAAAGGACAACAACCCCAAGCAGACTTCCAAAGTTGTGGTAAAATGGTTTAAGGACAACAAAGTCAAGATATTGGAGTGACCATCATAAAGCCTTGACTTCAGTCCAATAGGAAATTTGTGGGCAGAGCTGAAAAAGCCTGTGCGAGCAAGGAGGCCTCCAAACCCGACTCAGTTCCAGGAATGGGCTAAAATTCCAGCAACTTACTGTAAGAAGCTTGTGGAAAGCATCCCGAAACATTTGAACCCAACTTAAACAATTTAAAGGCAATGCTAACCGAGTGTATGTAAAGTTCTGACCCACTAGGAATGTAATAAAAGAAACAGAAGCTGAAATAAATCTTTTTCTCTACTATTATTCTGACATTTCACATTCTTAAAATAAAGTAGTGATCCTAACTGACCTAAAACAGGGAATGCTTATGAAATTAAATGTCAGGAGTTGTGAAAAACAGTTTAAATGTCTTTGGCTAAGGTGTATGTAAACTTCTGATTTCAATTGTATATGGTGAACTTTAATGTGAACACAGTCACACTGAAGAAACAGTCACATGTGTAAAAATCATGTTTTTTTCATGTGTGCAGATACTGTCACAGACAGAGCTACATAACTAGTAAAACCAAATCATAACAAAAAAATGCAACCTGTTATATTTTCTAGATGACTTTGTACAGCTGACTTCTGTTCTATTAGATACAAATTTAAGAACAACACTGAATAGATGAACTCCTGTAGAGGAGCATCATCTTTACCTTCTACATTATTGAAGGTATGAACTGTCCAGATACAGCCTGTTCTAGCTTTTAAAAGAGTGCTACAAATTATTCTTTAACACAAAGACGTATCATTTTGACCTTTTTGATGTAACCTCTATTTTTAAGTAGTGACAAACTGTTAAAAAGCCTGAGCTGAATAACATACTATTTCAAAAATTGCTGTAATTTTGTCATCAACAATGATTGACTCATATGATATAGTCCAACGTGCTGTTTGGTTATCATTTGCTGCACAGTACACACCTGTAACAAACTGTTGTAGTAACGGCAGCACGTACCACCAGAGAATGTCAGAATAACTCACTTCCCTAGTACTCTGTCCTTCAAAGTCAAACATTAGTACAGTTACACTGGTATACATTACTCTGCTTATGTACTTAGTGTTCAGGTTGGCAGAAGGTAAGACTTGCAAGTTAGCTTCGACTAACATTTCACACAGCAAGCAACCAGGTTTTGGGCTTTCTGTTCTATTGTAACTTGGCACTTATCTACATAGGAATTAATGACTATAGTCACCAGGAAAATGAGTTGGCAGAAATCAACCAGGAGCAGCAACCAAAGCTCTACAGAAGACCAAGAAAAAAAATATATACAGTGCCTATATAACCATATAAGCAAATAAACTGACCGTATACAGTGCCTATAAAAAGTATTCACTCCCTTGGATGTTTGACCCTTTTATTGATTTTATGAATCAATCATGGTCAATATAATTTGGCTTTTTTGATTAAAAAAACTGTCAAAGTGAAAACAGATTTCTACAAATAATGTCAATTAAATAAAAATATGTAATGTGAAATAAGTGTTTGCATAAATATTCCCCTTTAAAATGACTGACCTAATTCAACAGAGGTCAAGTCAATTGGTGCTAGTAGTCTCACAATTAGTGAAACAGGGATCACCAGAGTGCAGTGAATGTGTCTCCAGTGATTGTAGTATAAACACACCTGTGTCTGGAAGGTCCGGTCACTGGTTAATCAGTATTCCTGGCTACCATTACACCATGAAGACAAAAGAACACCCCAAGCAACTCAGAGAAAGGGTTATTGATAAGTATAAGTCAGGGGATGGATACAAAACAATTTCCAAGGCACTGAACATCCCCCAGAGTTCAGTTAAATCTATCATCAAGAAATGGAAGGAATATGGCAATAAATCTGCCTAGATCAGGCCGTCCTGACAAACTGAGCGACCATGCAAGGAGACTAGTGAGAGAGGCCACCAAGACACCTATGACCACTCTGAAGGAGTTACAAGCTTCAACAGCTGAGATGGGAGAGACTCTGCATACAACAGCTGTTGCCCGGGTTCTTCACCAGTCAAAGCTTTATGGGTTGAAGAAAACTCATTAAATCTCAACTAGAGTCCACCAAAAGACATGTGGGAGACTCCATGGTCAAGTGGAAGAAAGTTCTTTGGCCTGTTGAGACCAAACTGGTGTTTTTTGGCCATCAGACAAGACACTATGTTTGGCGCACACCAAACACTGCACATCACTACAGACACACCATCCCCACTGTGAAGCACGGTGGTGGCAGCATCATGCTGTGGGGATGCTTCTCGGCCAACGGCCCTGGAAGGCTTGTAAAGGTAGAGGGTAAAATGAATGTGGCAAAATAATTCCTGGAGGACAATCTTATTCAGTCTGCAAGATAACTACAGCTTGGGAGAGGATTTATTTTCCAGAAAGATGATGACCCGAAGCATACAGCAAAAGAAATGGTTTAAAGACGAGGTGAGTGTTCTGGAGTGGCCGAGTCAAAGCTCAGACCTCAATCCAGTAGTGAATTTGTGGCTGGACTTGAAAATGGCTGTTCACACCTGATGCCCGTGCATCCTGGCAGAGCTTGAGCAGTTTTGCAAAGAAGAATGGAGTAAAACTGCAGTGTCCAGATGTGCAAGCCTGATTGAGACTGATCCACACAGACTCAGTTCTGTGATTGCAGCCAAAGGTGCATCTACTAAAAACTGACCTGAAGGGGGTGAATATTTATGCAAACACTTATTTCACATTATACATTTTTATTTATTTGACATTGCTTTGTAGAAACCTGTTTGCGCTTTGACATTAGGTTTTTTGTATTTTTGTTTGTCAAAAAAGCCAAATTATATTGACCATGATTGATTTATAAAAATCAATAAAACGGTAAAACATCCAAGGGGGTGAATACTTTTTATAGGTACTGTATGTGGTTAACAAATGTTACTGCTTTCAGAATGGAAACCTGAGGAACCTCAAAGAAAAACAGGAGTCTGGCTGTGCTTAAAAGCTGCCACGGCAACAAGTTTGAGGGCTGAGTGACTTTCAACACATTTATCTAAACAAACTGAATAAAGTGCCCCAATTCTGTCTGAAAGACAAAGCCACCATCACCCCATTCTACTGAACAGATTACTGTGTTTATGAAATAAACACAGGAACAGTATACAGAGTATAACGAATATTGTGAAATGATATTTAATCACTACTTTTACTGAAGTTCAATTTCCC